CTAAATGCATCTCATATGTTATCTCACCGTGGGGTAGGGCTTTTAGTATTCCTCGGAATCTGAGACTTATACAGGGGTTAAATGCTCGCCCAATGACTAACAATGGCATTGGGCGAGCATTTAACCCCTGTATAATGCCAGCAATGGCAGCCACTGAGATTCGAAGCTAGGGCTGTGACCAATGTCTTTGCTACTCTGATGTACTGAGCACCTACTTCTAGATCAGTCCTGTGCTAATCCCCGAGCATATGGGGCTGATTTAGTCATATATCCCTGCCCCTAAGGGCTCATATCGCAGTGAGGAAGGTGGAAATTCATGCCATTAATTAAAATATAGCATGATCAGTGCTGCCGGGGAGGTACAGACCAGGGTTTGCTGAGACCCTAGAACAGGAGAGGGTAAAAGGGGAGGACAGAGGGGGCGCCTGGGGGGCTCAGTCGGTTAAGCATCCGACTTCAGCTTAGGTCATGATCTCGCGGTTCGTGGGTTCCAGCCCCACATCAGGCTCTGTGCTGACAGCTCAGAGCCTGGAGCCTGTTTTAGATTCTGTGTCTCCCTCTCTCCCTGCCCCTCCCCCACTCATGCTATGTTTCTCTCTGTCTCAATAATAAATTTAAAAAACATTTAAAAATGTGGGGGGAGGACAGAGGAATGGCATGCAACTTGATGAACATTCCGCAGGGGGAGTCAAATTTGGTCTGGGTCTTAAAGTATAAGTAGGAGTTTGTGGGCATAAAAAATAGAGTAAAGATGATCAGACAAGCCACAGAAAATTAAAAAGAAAGTATATCTTATTTTATGCAGTTGGACATAATGAGCTTGATAAAGGCAGTGCCCCAGTACAAGGCCAGGGCCGGATTTTAGGAATTCTCGTGCTAGGGTGCCTGAACTTTTATTCTATAGCAGAAAATTTCTATAACAGAAAACCTCAGAATGATTTTAATTCAGAGATTTGAACACATGCATAATCACAATACAACAATAATAAAATTGGATAGCATTTATTGGCACTTAACTCTGTGCTCATATGAAACTTCATTCTCTCATCATGATAAGATTATATAGCAAAGATTGCTTTTCCTTGTTGCCGATGAGGGAAGCTGAGGTACAAATAGGAGGGGAAGTAGCTTGCCCAAGGCTGTTGGACCAGTAAGTCTGGGAGCTGAAGTTCATGGCCAGACCTGAAAACCTTTCTACAGTCACGCTTTAACCCCTCATTCCATTGGTTTTACCGACTCAGGTGGAGGTAGGATTCAAATGCCAGACTGGAGTGGGTGAGGGGCCCCGAACAGAGTAGAGGGGACGTCTCTAGAAAATGATAAGTCTTGGGACCAATCAAATGATCAGAAGCAGAGACTGAAGGACGGGCAGAGTCGGGGACTCTGCGGTTTTGACTCATGTAAGTGAGCTGACCATGCGCTGGAGCTAAGACCCCAGGAGGAGGGCACTTGGAGAGGGAAGAGCTTGCTCGGACAAGTTGAGCATCCAATGCCCGTAGGACTTCTAGGTGGAGGTGTCCAGGAGGCATTTGGCTGCATAGATCTGGTCATCCCACCAGCCAGGACGTCCAAGCTGGAGACAGAGTCTTGCCACGAACAAAGGATCAGTGGGCAAGACACCTGTGTTCTGGTCCCAGCTGGGCTGGAAGTCACTGAACTCCTCCAATTAGCTTCACCTCCTTCATCTAGAAAATGTGGGGGAGGGAGGAAATTACCGCGAAGGTCCCCTCTTGGCGGAAGCGAGGCAATTCTGTGTTCCCCGTCAGGGGGGCAGTTACGTGGAGGAACAGATCCCGGAAGCCCGTCAGCTTGTAGACATGTCACACTCGAGTGCAGCAATCCTCCAAGCCTTCAGCAATATCCACAAAGCTAACCCAGCGGGGTAATAATGATAACTTAAGAGGTTATTGTCTTTTTTTGCATACGTTTAGTCTGCATGGTTCCCATGGGGCAGTGGATGCCACCGCACACCATGTTTACTTTGCGGGGAAGGGGGAGATGTTAGCTGGAGGCGAGGCTGGTCTTTCCGAGCCACGGGGCTTGTGCTAGAGAAGCAGCTGTGGGGTGCGTGGCTCCCCGAGCCTGCCCAGTGTTTTTATTTGTGTGCTCACAAGTATTCATGGAGTGTGCAACACACACTGGGCTCTGTGGGAGATCTTGGGGCTGTAACAGGGGAGAAAACAGGTGCCGCTGAGAAATGTGACTCAAGAATTTTGAATCATTTTTTATCAACGTGCAGGTTGATGGTGAACCATTTATTTATTTTCCTTTCGGGTTAAGTTGAAACCCTAATTTCCTCAAACACAAAATTCCCGGATTTTTGTAAACACTTTTGTTTCAGTCCCTGTTGAATTAACAGATTTAACACAATGACCTTGTACAGATTTTGGAGCATAAAACATATAAAGTAGGGGCACCTGGGTGGCTCAGTCAGTTGAGCATCTGACTTCAGCTCAGGTCATGATCTCACGGTCTGTGGGTTCGAGCCCCACGTCGGGCTCTGTGCTGACAGCTCAGAGCCTGGAGCTGCTTCCGATTCTGTCTCCCTCTCTCTCTCCCCCTCCCTTGCTTACACTCTGTCTCTCTCTCTCTCTCAGACATAAATAAACATTAAAATTTTTTCTGAACATATAAAGTACATATTATGTGTATGGATATATATAAAATAATGGATCCTTTTTACTTTCAGCATATTTCAGCACAAACATGGTATAATTTGGTGGAAATTGCATGGATTTTGAGGGAGAGACAGCAGGGTCTGGATGACCCCGAGGAAAGGGGGAAGGGAGGCCGGGTTCAGATAAGGCTCAGAGTCTCCCTGCTGCGTCCGCAGGCGTGTTGCTTAATTACTCCAAGCCTCAGCTTCCAAGACTGGAGATCATAATAGTGCTGCCTCACAAGGTCCTTCCGAGAGTAAAATGGAGTGTGAAACTATAGTACATGCCCTGTACATCTTAGCTTTGCTGAGGAGTAAATAATCTATGTAAAACACCTTGAAGAATTTCTAGTACATGGTAGATGTTCAATAAATGGCCACATTAATATTGCAGCTCTTGGTGTCATAAGTAAAATCACAGCTCGTGGTAATAAATGAACAGCTGTACGGTGCACCAGGCCAAAATTGAGGGAACTGTGGTCCAGTCCCGGCTTTTCCCCACTCACCATCTCCACGGCCCTGAAATTGCCCCCTTACCTCCTCAGTTTTTCCATCTGTGGCTTGGATGCTTTGGGGCTGGGTAGGGGTAACGTGTGAAGGGCCTTTGCGCCCTAGAAAGCTCTGTGTGACTGTTTAGTGCACCACGATGGTGGTTACAGGTGGCATTTCCAATGGCTGAGTATAGATTCAGAGTTGACCATTCCCCCACCAGGTCATTGCAAGAAGTTTTAATCAAGAAGGACTCGAGTTTCATTCATCTCTTTTTTTTAAAAAAAGTCTATTTATTTATTTTGAGAGAGAGCATGAGCAGGGGAGAGACAGAGGGAGGAAGAGAGAGAATCCCAAGCAGGCTCGCAACGTCAGCACAGAGCCCAACGCAGGGCTCGAACTCACACACCGTGAGATCATGACCTGAGCTGAAACCAAGAGTCAGATGCTTAACCGACAGAGCCACCCAGGCGCCCCCGTTCATCTCTAATCCAATCAGGGATACTCAGACTTTGGATCCTGGACATCCTTTCTAGGCAAGGCCATAACTGATCTTCTTATAAGTTTGGTTCATCATCTGCTGTCCCGGGGGGGCAGGGCTGCCCCTCCCCCCAGCTGTTGTCACTCACTGCCCTCCAGGGAGACCCCAGTCTCCTACCCTGGGAGTTCCGAGTCCTTCCCACCTATGCGACACTGAAATAGTTCCCTTAGGTTGGCAGCAGGCACAAAGGGTTTAAACGTCCCTGATTGTTGGGATGCCTGACCCGCGTCGGTGCAGGAAGCAGAGTGATGTTTGTCAAGGTGCGATTTCTTCATCTTGGCTGAGCTCTTACCCCTCCCGTGTTTACACTGACTGGGATTCATTCCATCTCCACCTCCCCGGGGTGGGGTGGGGGGAGGAGGGCGCTTCAGGGGAGGGGGCGCCTCCGGGGCCATGAGAGGCTCCCCCAACCTCCGCCCCAGAAGACTGCCTCCACCCCGCACTTGGAGCACCCCGTTTGTTTTTTAAATTTTTTTATTTTTTGTAAATGTTTCTCGAAAACTCCTTTTCTTTTCTTTTCTTTTTTTAAATTTTTTAACATTTGTTTATTTTTGAGAGACAGAGTTGAGCAGGGGAGGGGCAGAGAGAGAGGGAGACACAGAATCCGAAAACTCTCCAGGCTCTGAGCTGTCAGCACAGAGCCCAACGTAGGCTTAAACTCAGAAACCATGAGATCCTGACCTGAGCCAAAGTCAGACGCTTCACTGACTGAGCCACCCAGGGGCCCCAATTTTATTTATTTATTTTTACAAATAGTTTATTGTCAAGTTGGTTTCCATATAATAAATACCCAGTGCTCATCCCCACAAGTGCCCTCCTCCATGCCCATCACCCCCCCTTCCCCTTCCCCCTACCCTCATCTGCCCCCAATTTTATTTTTTAAAAATGTTTATTTATTTTTGAGAGACGGGCAGGGAGCGTGAGCGGGGGAGGGGCCCAGAGGGAGAGGTGGACAGAGGATCGAAGCGGGCTCCGCACTGACAGCAGCGAGCCCAGTGCAGGGCTTGAACTCGTGAACTGTGAGAGCATGACCTGAGCTGAAGTCGGACGCTCCACGTTCGGAGCCCCCCGGGCGCTCCGGAGCACCCCATTTGGGTACCTCCCCGGGGGACACACCCGTGTTTCCTGGGACACCTGGGTCTTGTTCTCGAGCCCACTTGAGGCTCACAGAGAGCAGGAATCACGTGGCACAGTAGACGGAGTCCTGGCTCTGCCCTCCGAGAAGCTGGGTTCCTATTGCCTGTCCCCGATCTGCGGGCTGGTGAGTGCACACTGTGACGTGCAGTGACATTCTCTTTGTCCTGTCTTTGGCAGCCCCAGAAGTGTTCCAGGTGTACGTGGACGGAGGCCCTGGGTACTCGTACCCGGTCGACTGGTGGTCCCTGGGTATCACCGCCTACGAGCTGCTGCGGGGCTGGGTAAGATGTGCGCCTGCACGGTGAACGCGGGGAGCCCTGGGAGCGGGGGCTCAGGGCCATCCGGACTTGCGTACATGGCCGTGGAGGAGCACACGTGAGATCTCAGAGGCCCCGGGTTCAGACCTGATCCCTTGTGTGCCGGGGCTCCCCGAGCATTAGAGGGGCCCTGAGTGGGCTTCTGGTCCAGCCGCCTCACTCTGCTGGTGGGGAGAAGAATGTCACAGCAGGGACAGTCAAGGTCAGCAGCTCAAATGCCCGGCCTGATCTTCCAGCTGGATTCGAGGCTCTTTCCGTATAAGGCCACGCTTCCTGTCCCCTTTATGTGTTTATTCCATATCTGCCCGGAGCACATGCGTAGATGTCCCATCCTAATGGGGCGTTCGGTACATAGTTTTGTTTCTATTTCATTGACTGTAAGAGCTGACGACAACTAACGGCGACTAGTAACTCATTTTTACTTTAGTGGAAAGAATGATGACAAACTCGTTTTGAGGCACTTGTTCTCTGCACAAGAATTGTTTGCACATGATGCCCCTTAACCTTGGTTCCCCTGATGGTACAACAGAGTAACAGCCTCCGGTCGGTTTCACGGAGACACAGTTACCATGGGGTCGCTCGGCGCCGCAGGACGGAGACGCGGGGTTTGCGCGTCGCTTGCCTTGCCCAGCAAGTGTCCTGCCCAGAGCCACGATTTCCTGTGCATCCAGCCCTTTGTGTCCACGCACATCCAGGCAGGCAGAAGTGCACTCCCTGAAGGCAGAGGTCGCCAGGGTGTGTGATAAAGGGTGAGGAATGAATGAATGAATGAATGAATGAATAGATAAGAGCAGTTTGCAAACCATCACAGCCATGAGAGTGCAAGTAAGTGTTATTATTTTCACCCTGTAGTTTAAGCAACTATTGTGTGCTCTCAATCTCATTGATCTCCCCTGAATTTCTCAAAAACATAATTACTATATGATGTGTCTAGAATTTAAAATATAGATAGATAGATAGATAGATAGATGAATATATATGAACTTGTGAGTTTTCCCAGGCAATGAATGAAAACAAGCCATCTTATTCTTGGGTGGCTCCTTGGTCATTTGCCAGTTTCACTGATGCTGATTTCTTTGAGTCCCTAACGCTGTATGACCACAGGACACAGGCATCCTCCAGAAGCTATTTATCTGATATCCTCAGTCACACAAATGCCCTGGCCGAGCAGTTGCCCCAAGCGTGATTGAGTGTTCCTCAGGAGAAAGTCCACTGCCTGTGTTAAATAAAAATCGATCAAGTAAATGTGCAGATCTAATTGGCTTTATTAAACGATCCATGAATGGGACAGTACTTTATGCAGCATTTAGACGGGAGCTCTGGGGAGCAAGATGTTATTAGCAAAATGAAAAGATGGTTTCCAGCAAGGAGCTTTCTAGGGGTGGGGACTGAATCAAAGCGTCTTAACATGCAGATTGCCCATCTTTATTTGCAGGGTGGAAGGGACCTAGGTGACAGGCTCACTGGCCAGGTTTGAAAAATTCCTGAGCCACCAGTATGTCTGGGGGAGTTTGGAACTGCAGTTAGATTATGTAGGGAGCCCTGGTTTGGGAACTCCTAAATGACATTTTGGGCCCATGAGGTTTCTTTTGTTTTTCTTTTTGTTTTCGTTTTTGTTTAATATCTGTCATTCCTCACGGGTCAGGTCAGAGATGAGGATTCGACAAAAAGCCCCAAGGATAAAGCGGCTCTTGCTGCTTCCACAATAAATCATTTCACTTTTAGTTCGACTGAGTTTTCTACTCAGAGATCCAAGTGCCACATTCTGGAGAAGAAGGAGTGGCACACAGTGGGACTGGAGCCTTCGGCATGGGGACAGAGTGGTTCACGGAAGGGACACTTGTTATGTCCTCGTGTAAACCTTCCTCGTAGATGTCATGGTCTGGCTTCACCTTGGACAGGTTTATGCAAATAGTGGATTCTCTGTTTTTTATACTGGAAACAATCGCGTTGAGTAAAAAAGCTATACCGGAAAACACTCCTAAGTTTACCGCCGGGGGTGTGTAGACGTAGGGGTTGCCCTTCCTTCCCAAATTCCAACACCGCGTCAGTGTCCGTGACAGCATCCCTGTCAAGTCATCAGCCACGTGTGTGTTCCTGCGTGGCCTCAAAATCCAGGGAGCTTTCACCTCCAAAATATGGAAGTCATGATGAGGATTTTCCAGTGCGTGCTCTGGGACCTCACAGTTGGAAAGAATTAGGTACGTGGGTGGGAAATGGATAAGCCCAATACAGCCTGCTGGCTAGAGACCCAGAAATCCTCTAGACCCAACCTGGAAAACAGCTGTCTGTCTTCCCAGTGCTCTGTATGGAGAGCCCAGGGACTGAGTGTCGTTCATGGGCAAGAAGGCAGAGAATCCGAGGAGCCTGGTTGGATCTTGTAGCCTGAACCAGGGTCATAAGGAGGATCTCTGAGTCCGATCCCAGTCCTCACCCCACAGGCACGCTAAGTGGAGGCCAAGAAAGTGCCACCCTGTTAGAGCACGGGCACCTTGGTCACCCCGGAAGGTGACCACACCCTCTGATTAGAACACGGTGAGGAGAGGTGTGAGGAGGTTTCCTGCCCACAGACCCGGAGAAGCAGAGCTGATGTCCCCTTTCCCACCTGCCAGGCCCTCAGGGCATCCCTCACAGGTGATCACCACCTGCGGGCTGGTTCCCCTCCAGCTGGGAAAAATAATTAATAATATCTACCCAACAGGGCTGTTTTGAGAATTAAATCAATCTGATGATGCAAATTACCCAGCGTGGGCCTGGTGAATATCAGCAACCAGCCACTTCCTGCCGTGATTCCTGTCCCGGGGGGGAGGGGGGGAGCTGCCAGCAGACCTGCCTCCTCTCTGACTTAGCACCTTTGCAGCTGGAGATGGGCGCGGGGAGTGGAGGCCGGGTCACGCCTGGTTGATGAGCCCTGGCGGGAAGCCCCAGGGGCCTGGGAAGCAGAGGTCTGTGTCCCTTCCACACTCTGGATGCCTCGGTGCTCTGATTCCAGCTTAGTCACTTAACTCATCTGAACCCTGGCTTCCTCCTTTGTAACATGGGGATTCTGAGGCCGATCCACAGGGTCACGGTGGGGATGACGTGAGAAAAACGTGGGCAGAGCACACGCAGTGTCCGGCACACAGGAGGCTTGCTGATTATCTTATAAATATGCTCCTGAGACAGGTCGATGCAGTAAAGTGCTGGCTTGCGCCAAGTGGCGTGGGAGAGTGTCTGAGGGAGCAGACATTTAAGCCGGGTCACATGGGAGCTGCTGGAGGGAACAGTGTGAGTGTAGATGGGGAAGGGCTCTGAGGCAGACACAGCAAACATTTGTGACTGATCGGCAGTCAGAGGACAGTCAGGGGACAGCCTGTAAAGACCCTGAGATGAGCAGGAGGCACTCAGCTTCACCCTGTGGGCATCATGGTGCTGTCTGTGGGCATGACCGCACAGAGCTTGAGTGTCCTTAGGAATCACACATTTCTGGGCTCACATCCCGGCTTCGTTGTCTCGTCTCTGAATGATCTGGGGTGAGCTTGTTTCTCATCTATCAGATGAGTGAAGCGTATGGAGTGCCTGGGGGCTCTGTTGGTTGAGCGTCCGACTTCGGCTCAGGTCGTGATCTCACGGTTCATGGGTTCGAGCCCCAAGTCGGGCTCTGTGCTGACAGCTCAGAGCCTAGAGCCTGTTTCGGATTCTGTGTCTCCCTCTCTCTGACCCTCCCCTGTTCACACTGTCTCTCTCTCTCTCAGAAATAAATAAAACATTAAAAAAAATTTTTTTTAAAGATGAGGGAAGCGTAGCTGCAGACCTAAAAGCACAGGGTGCCTCCACTGTGGTGCTGTGGACACTGGGGGCCAGGAATTCCTTAGAGGGTGGGGGGCGTCCTGTGCAGCCCAAGACATTCAGGAACACCCCTGGCCTCTACCTACCAGATGTGGACAGAAATCTCCCCCTCTGACTTATGACAACCAAAAATCTCTCCAAACGTCACCCAATTTAAATAGTTCCTGTTTGCAAACCACTGCCTTATACTAAGCAGAAGGACTGGATGACAGCCTGCATGCATCGCATTGCAGAGTGGGCTCTAGATGAGGGCGAAAGGCTGGAACCCCCAAACCCCACCTGTGGCACCATGAGTCCTTCTACCCTCTCTGCTTCTTCCCAGCCACCTCCCTGACCTTGTCTTTGACCCCAGTCAGCACTTCTCCCTGTAGCCGGGTAGACAGAGAAGGTTGGAGGTGCAGAGAGGGGATGAATAAAGAGGGAGGGTGTGTGGAGCTCCCCTAGAGGCTGTGGCGCAGACCTATGAACTTGGGGTACGTGGGGTGGGTGGACTTGACGGCAGAACCTGGGAATGTATTGGCACGTGACCCTGATGGAAGGAGGGAGGTGGTCCTGGAGTTGAACGCCGACTTCTTGTCTCTTGGTAAAGCAGAGAGAACACTGTTCCAGGAGTCCAGACCCAGGAGGAAACTGACTCTGTGACCTCACTCTCTAGGTTTTACGTCTCCGTTAAGGGAGGGGAAAGGGCGTGGGTTGTGCTGTGGTTTTCAGGCTGCGTTTCCCGGGCCTCGGGCACCCCCAGAAGTGGTTCAACAGTTCTGAGGAGGGGGCACACTGCCTCTGGCTTCGGACGTTTCATAGCCCGAAGACCTGTTCTTCACTTCCATCTATTCCGTGTTTGGGATTTGTAGTAAAAAACGTTTTGGGGAAACACACACACACACACACACACACACACATTGGATTCGATGGTCCCCAAAGCCCAGCTCAGCTCCGGCTGTCCAAATAACAGGTCTTCAGCAATTCCCTTCCCTCTTCTCCAGTTCTTCGTCAATTGGCATTTTCTGTAAACGGGTGGCCTGGAATGGAGACACACCTGCGCTCCGCAATGAGTCTACCCAGCGCCCCACTGCCAAAATCCCTTTCACCAGCAGTTCATGTAATTGCTTTACCTTAGAAATGCCACTTGCTTTTCTGAGTCCACACATCCCAAGTTCACACATGCGTGTGAACTAAGCTTCCATAGAATTCTTTACCTGGAGCAGATGGAGTATTGATCTCCGTGTTTGCCAGTATTCTTGCAGAAGGGGCTGGGTTTCTCTACAACCCTCCAAACGGATGAAGGCTGAGCCTAAAGCCGCAGAACGTATTCTGTGCACGGTGTTCCGAGCTTAGCCGGGAACGTATTTAACTGCTGCGTTGGCCGTGTGGCTTCTTAGGGTTACTATTATTGTTGGTCTGGCTCCCTCCAGAAGTGGAGAGGTCAGAGCTAGAGCGTGGCCGGTTTGGAGGTCGGATGGGGAGGCAGATTGATCACACTTGTCACTGGCTGGTTCTGCGGCCAGGCGCTGGGCACGGTGGGCTCTGGTGGCATCGAGGGAAGAGCAGCAAAGGAGATCCTGTGTCTCTGTGGGATCCCAGCCTCACTGTCCCCACTCCTAAAATGAGGAGGTGGGAGTGCTCCATCTCCAGCAGCTGGTCCTCCCGCCTCCAGCAGCTGGTTTTCCAGATGCGGCTGGGACAGAGTGGGAGGAATGGTTTCTCCAAAGGCAAAAAGAAGAAGCTTCTTCAGTCGAGAAGCGACCCTGAGCAGTCCAGAAGCTGACATCTCCGCTCTCAGTTAATGCGCTCTCCTGTGATTTCTAATCATGGCAGCTGTTACTGGTGCAAAGGCAGAGGCAGGCAGCCAGCCTCGGGAGGAAATTCTGAAATGTTCACTCCTGGAACTGTACTCCACATCCCGTTAAATTGGGAGACAATGTTTGAAGACACGCGGGAAAGAATGTTAGCACATCTAGGTAGCTGGCCTTTCTAGGGAGCCCCAGGTTTTGGTTTTGATCTACATATTACAGGGGAAAAGGGAGGGTTCCCAATTTGATTGACAGATGAAAGAGGAGGCAGCCAGTCCGGAAAAGGTCCCCTTCTGGGCAGACACATCGGAAGGCAAAGACAACTTCCCCAAGAGAGCCCGGTTGGGTGAAGATAAAGATGCTCCTGCATTCCAGGGAATTGTCACCCACCCAAGGCTGAGGACCCCTCACCTTCTTGGCTGGCACCTCGTATTTGCAGCAGCCCCGTGAGAATTCAAGTTCCACAGGACTGGAGCCCACATCTTATGAACCATGTGAGCCCAGTACGGGCTCTGACCCATAGCCGGTGTGTGGATGGACGGACTCATTCTCGTCGCTGTGCTCTGAGATCTGCTGGACGGCGGAGGCCCACCTTCAGGGATACCCCTCCCCCCCGCAGGAATTTCACAGCAGTCAAGTTCACGTGGTCAACGATGAGCTCCTCGCTCTGTTTCTCTAGCTGTTACACCACACGTGCTCCGAAGTGACGTCATGCCGATGCCAGCCCTGAGCCATCTAACGGGTGCAAGCCTCAAAACATCTTGACCCGTGAAGCTGGTGGGGGAGGTAAAGAAGGGAGGAGAATTTGGGAGGGGGCAGAGGCAGAGGGAGTGAGCTGACGCTCAGACACTGTCCGAGCCGTGTCCCCAGGGTCCCACTCAAGAAAGCCTTCTCGAGTTTTGAGAGGTTCTTAGAAGCAAACAAACTCCCCAGGGCAGTGCTTGGAAAACAAGTCAGGAGGTTTAACGCTCTGCTGAGCTGGCGAATCGAACAGACTTCTGTAGCCTCGCTGGCCGGGGAGTGGAGGGGAGAGAAGCCCCATCTCCCCACATCCGGGCACCCCAGCAGACCCAGACCTGGGTGATTCCAGCCCTGCCCACTCCCGGCTGGTTCAGCCAGCGCAGGAAAAGCTGGAGGTGAGGCCCACCAGCAGGTAGGGGCTGTGCCTGGAGGTGATGCTGGGTGTCCGGTGGAAGGTGAGAGCCACCCCACCCCCAAGTCTGGAGAGGGGACTCGGGAATCAGGCTGTTGGGTGTGGATCTTGCCTTTGCACCCTAGCGGCTATGTGACCTCGCCAAGTCATTTAGCCTCCTGGGGCCATAACACAGCACCCACCTGCCAGCTTCAGGCCCTGCCTGACAGGTCTAACCACTGTTGGCAATGGGTCCCGGCCATCTGCTCTGCTGCAAAAGAGGAACACCCACTGTTCCGCGAAGGGAAAGAATAAACCCGACCCCTCGCAAATACACAGTTCTGACCACATGGGCGGTGTCTAACAGTTGGCCCTCTCTCTGACTCCCCCTCTGGTCCTTTGGTTGCAGAGACCGTATGAAATCCACTCGGCCACGCCCATCGATGAGATCCTCCACATGTTCAAGGTGGAGCGTGTCCACTACTCCTCCACGTGGTGCAAAGGCATGGTCGCGCTGCTCAAGAAGGTAAGGGGGCAGCCCCCAGCCTGCCAGGTCTGGGGGCTCAGGGCATTTAGTGCAGAAGCAGGCATACCGCCAGAGTCAGGAAGGAGAGAAGGAGAGAATGCCAGTGGTGGAGCTGACCAAGTCAGCGGAGCGCTAACGCCTCATCGCAAGCGGCGCACCGTCTTGCCTACAGGTTTCCAGAGCGGCTGGATGCTGGAGTCTGGCTCGGAGACGCATCTGTAACAAAGCCCCAGGCTCTTCACTCCGCTACAAACTCCTAATAAGCAGAAATAGTTGGTGCATATGGCTCAAAAATTTTTGCCACACATGGTCTTTTAAGTCACTGAGCTTTAAGAAACTGGACATCTCCTGACTTTTTCCAGGATCTAGAATTTACTAGAATAAAGCAGTGATTCTCCAAGTGTGTCCCCTGGGCCAGGAGCACGGCAGCAACACCTGGGAGCTTGTTGGAAATGCAGCTTCCCGGGCTCCACGCAGCCCTTGTGACTCATAAACTCTAGGGGTGGGATCCTGTTGGGTGCATTTCCATCGGCTCCCTGGGTGGTCCTGAAGCCCGCTCAGAGTCTGGCACAGGCTAGAGGGGTGTGGTGCCCTCCTTTTGAGGCTGGCATTTAGCTTTCCAGACGGGGAATCCTCCAAGATGTACAGGATGGAGTCTTGCATGTGGTTGGTACCCAGGCATCTGTGGGAAAAGGACACTAACACCAGCCAGCAGTGGTTGAGTGAGTACCATGTTCTGGGCCGTGCAGCGTCTCTTCTGAGTCCTCGCAGCCCTGGGAGCCCCATGTTGGAGGTGAAAACACTGAGGCTTAGACACACATTCAGTCGAGGTCACGGGGCTGGTAGAGGGCAGAGGCAAGGTTTGAATGCAGGCTGTCCCAGATCCGGATGCCAGCGTCTAGTCCCTGCCCGGCTGTAAATGACTCGTTCAAGTATCAGTTCACTCAATTGCTTCAGGGGAGATTCAGCACCTGGTTCTTAGAACCGACTACTAACTAGAGTTGCCTGGATGCCCTCCGCACCTGCCGGTGCCTGGACCCCCCCCCCCACCCATCCAGGGAGACGGAGAACCACTATCCTGAATGGGGGTCTCCTATGCGCATTGGAGTGCAGTATCCATTTAAAGTTTATTTTGAGAGAGAGAGCACACAAGCAGGGAAAGGGCAGAGAGAGAGATGGGGAGAGAGAGAATCACAAGCAGGCTCCATGCTGTAAGCGCAGAGCCTGATGCAGGGCTTGATCTCAGGAACCATGAGATCACGACCTGAGCAGAAATCAAGAGATGAATGTTTAACCGGCTGAGCCACCCAGGTGCCCCTAGAGTCTCTTTTGAAATCTGGACTCATCATCTGAGGCAGCCCCGAGGAGGAGGCCGCCGTGACCAGCAGTTAGGACCCGGCCAGGTGCCCTCACATGGGTGTGACCACAGCCTGCTGGCCAGACGCAGCTGTGAGATTTCTGCAGCATTGGGGGAGGGGCAGGCAGCAAACTGGCAGTGGGGCCTTCCAGCTCCCACCTGTGGGCAGCCGGGTGCCACAGACCCCCCCCTTGGCACATGCCAGGTCCATACCAGTCCCCTTGGGCCCCAGATCTGGGAGTGGAAAAATCGCGTGTCTTTGCTCTTCCTAATCTGAGAGGAGGAGACAGGCACGCAGCCTTCCGCAGCCGCCCGAGTTCGTGCAAGGGAAGCCGGGATGGTTTTGAGAAGCCGAAAGCCCCGTTTGGGTGCAAGGTCATACTCCGGGGGCTGCTTCTTCTTTTTTTTTTTTTTTTTAACTCTTTTATTATTATTTTATTGTTTTTAGAGTACATAATTTATTTATTTAAATTCAAGTTAGTTAACGTACAATGTAGTATTGGTTTCAGGAGTAGAACCCAGTGGTTCATCACTTACATACAACACCCAGTGCTCATCCCAACAAGTGCTCTCCTTAATGCCCATCCCCCTTTCAGCCCATCCCCCGACTAAACTTCCCTCCATCAACCCTAAGTTTGTTCTCTGTATTTAAGAGTCTCTTATGGTTTGCCTCCCTCGCCGTTTTTTCTTATTTTTCCTTTCCTTCCCCTATTTTTATCTGTTTTGTTTCTCAAATTCCACATATTAGTGATATGAGTGAAATCATATATTCATCTTTCTCTGACTGACTTAATAGTCAAAGCAATCTTGAAAAAGAAAAGCAAAGTTGGAAGCATCACAATTTCAGGCTTCAAGTTATCTCCTGAAAGCTCTAGTGATGAAGACGGTATGGTACTGGCACAAAAATAGACACATAGTACAGAAACCCCAGAAATGATCACACAGCTGTATGGCCAGTTAAGCTGTGACAAAGAAAAAAAAAAGATATCTAATGGAAAAAATCTTTTAAAAAAAATGGTGCGGGGAAAACTCCACAGTACCATAGTACAACCACTCTGGAAAATAATATGGAGATTTCTTAAAAATTAAAAACATCACTACCCCACAATCCAGCAATTGCACTACTAATTATTTATCCAAAAGATACAAAAATGCTAATTCAAAGGGGCACATGCACAACAATGTTTACAGCAGCACTATCAACAATAGCCAAATTATGGAAAGAGCCCAAAAGCCAAATGTCCATCAACTAATGAATGGATACAGATATATATATCCGGGGCTGCTGCTTATGCGGCACCACCCCTTAGTAGCAGAGATTCTATCTGAGGAGAAAACTAAAGATTATACCCTTGGCCACAAATGAGGCCACGCCATCAGGCCACAGAGGTCACCACTGAGCTGTCCAGGGATAAATTTTATTACACTTCCGAACATCCTGCCACCAAGCTGACAATCTTAAGATGAGGTGACCAATTCTTTTTTTATTTAATTGGAAGCCTCTGCAGACATCGGTGAGCGTGGGCTATCACGAGGCACTAGACCCCCAAGGACAGCGTGGTGGCTGAAATCCAGTCCCTTCCCAAGAGCCCCTTGCTTGGGTGACCGTGAGGAAGCAGCCTGACCCCTCAGTTCCTCCCTGGAACATGAAAAGCAGAGGCACCTTCAGGGCACCTGGGGGCTCAGTCGGTTGAGTGTCAAACTCTTAATTTCCACTCAGGTCCTGATCTCATAGTTATGAGGTCGATCCCCAAGCTGGGCTCCGCACTGAGCATGGAGCCTGCTTAAGATTCATTCCCTCTCTCTCTCTCTGTCTCTCTCTCTCTCTCAATCTCTCTCCAAACAGAAAAAAAGCAGAGGCACCTTCTGTTTCCCTAGATTCCTAACTTCAGAGTCCCCACTAACCTCAGCAGGGCACACACCTCAAGCAAATGTGTTTAAGCGCCTTTGCCCTCTGCCCGCAGCTCCTGACCAAGGACCCCGAGAGCCGTCTGTCCAGCCTTGGTGATGTCCAGAGCGCGCCCTACTTGGCCGACATGAACTGGGATGCGGTGTTCGAGAAGGCGCTGACGCCCGGCTTTGTGCCCAATGTGAGTGGGGTGTCGTCCAATCCATGCCGTCCTTCTGCAGGGTCCCCTGCTCTGCTTTTTAAAGACCAAGAAGCGGGTCCAGGAGGCCTCAGCTGGCCGCGGCCACATGAGCTGCAAAACGTTCACATTTCAGTGTGATTAGGGCAGACTCGGACCCCATCTGGGAGGTTTCTCTCCTTGTAGAAGGTCTTTGTGGGTACAGACCTGCTTTCTTTTCTTGAGTCACACCCATCGTGGGCACTGTCCACCCGTTCATCCTGCCACCCGCCTCCCCACCAGCCCGCGCTCGCTGAGCGCCTGTGTACGCGGGCACTGTGTGTGGTTTGAGGTGACTGGAGAGAAAACAGCTTGGTGCCTGGTGTCAGGGAGCTTGCAGATGAGAGCAGGGCTCCTCAACTGGGCTGTAGGGGACACTGGAGCCAGATGATTCTTTGGCGGGGGAGAGGGGACTGTCCTGTTCACCCCCGGGCGCTGCCCACAGATACTGGTAGCATTCCTCAGCTGTGACACCAAAAACATCCCCAGACATTGCCGGGCATCCCCTGGGGACAGCTGCCCCCTGTCAACAGCCACGGGCTAAGGGTTTGTGCAAACAGTAAGCCAATACAAAGGCACATTTAGTGATCCAGAGCTGGTCCTGGAGGGACAGTGCGGGCTCCCCTGGTGGGAGCCCAGACCAGACAGACGGGTTCACTACCAACTCTGTGACCTCAGCTGTGCTCGGGGGTGGGGTTCTTCACCTAAAATGAGGAGACCAGAGGGATCCATCCCACGCTGGGGTGGAGTAAATGCCAAGAGGCCTCCAAAGACTCGGAGCGGGGCCTGGCACTCAGGGAGCCCCCAGTACACACGGCCCTCGGAACGGTTCCTGGAGTAGTAAACCCACAGTCGGTTCCCTTCGTTGGCCCCCTCGGCATGCTCGCTCTGGGTGTGCCCCGGGGAATACGCCAGCGTCTGCCGAGGTCCTCCTCCACCACGCTCAGGCCAGATGCACAAAACCCAGGCATCTTGATGTGGCCCTTTATCCGGGGCACAGATGGCCTCACACAGCCTCTCTGTTGCCACATGAGCCTTCCCCGAGGTTGTGTGCAAGACGCCTGGGTGACCCTTGGGGCCAACGCGTGTGATCACCTGTCAGCCTTTGTAGACCTCACCCTCTGCTCTTCCCCAGACCCACGCAGGCACACTCTTGCACACCCACACACTCACATGCACACTCGTATTCATGCACACTAATGTGCACACTTACACTCGCATACACCCACGTGTAATCTCATGGGCGTGCCCACATCTGTGCACACTCACACTCACTCATATACAGTCACAGTTACACACACTCATGTGCACACTTACACTCATGCACACCCACATGTACGCCCACACTCATACACACTCGTGTGTGCTTGCCCTCGTGCATGCTCACACTCGTACACACTCTCATGCACTCTCACACTCATGCACACGTGTATGTTCACACTCGTGCATACTCTCATGCATGTTCATTCTCATGCACACCCATGCTCACTCGTGCACACTCATTTCCACACAATCACAGGCAGTGGACCCTGCATCAACCATACCCAGACGCCTGCAGTTGTCCCCTGTGGCCACACTGTTTTGTAGCTGTGTACCTGTGCTTACGTTCCTTCCTCCCCGGGGTGGGGGGGCTCCTCTCCTTGTCCCCCGGCAGTCTCCTGTCCCTCCTTCCAGACAGCATCAAACCCAGCGAGCGACCGGCTCATTTGAGGGTCTCAGTAACTGCCTTCTGGAAGAGAGAAAAACTTGGGTGTTGTCTCCAATGGGACCCCCAGCCCACCGCCTCCTTACCTGGAGTGAACTGCAGCCTCCCTGGTCTGGGCCTGGGTCTCCGTTAGCAGTACCGTTCTGTCACAGTGGGCCTGCTGTCCCCTCGAGAGCTTCACAGGGTAGGGCCCACTTGCCTCGTCTGGCTTCTGCCTGAGAGACTCCAGAGCAGTGGGTAGCCCTGGAAGGCACTAGAAGCTCTCAATGCGTGATTGTCATAAGTGAACAAGTAATGACGGCCCACCAGTGTTCAGGGTGTTGTGTGTTCCAGGCACAGGTTAGGGAACTTAGCCACGTTTACTCAGTGAGAAATTAACTTCAAGGAGCCTGTATCCAGAGCTGTATCCAGAGCCAGGGGAGGAGATACGACGAATAGATGAACCGTGTCTGCCGTAGGAATGTGTCGCTTCTCTTCACCAGAAGAAACAAACGGAACTGGGGCACCCCACTGTGGTAGTTAGTCATTACTTGTCGCATGGATGATCGATTGAATGAGTGAGTGAACAGAAAGTTCAGTGATAGGTGCAATCACAACAGACCGTGTTTGCTTTTTCCACTTGCTCTCAGAAGGGGAGATTGAATTGTGACCCCACGTTTGAACTTGAAGAAATGATCCTCGAATCCAAGCCACTTCACAAAAAGAAGAAGAGGCTGGCGAAGAACAGGTCCAAAGATGGCACAAAGGACAGCTGTCCTCTGGTGAGTGGATCCCCCCCAGGAGGGGTGGACTCTCAGAGCCCAGTGAACGTAAAGAGGGAGGGAGATGCTGGTTAGCCTAATGGAAGCAGCTCACTCCGTGTCTCCAAACACCTTCCTTTGCAGCCACTAAAAGGCCTCCTTGATCGAGTGGCTTTCCACAGCACAAAACTGAAAGAACAGGGGCACCTGGGTGGCTCAATTGGTTAAGTGTCCGACTTTGGCTCAAGTCATGATCTCACAGTTCATGGGTTCGAGCCCCATGCGGGGCTCTGTCCTGACAGCTCAGAGCCTGGAGCCTGCTTTGGATCCCATGTCTTCCTATCTCTCTGCCCTTCCCCCACTCATGCTCTGTCTCTCTCTGTCTCTCAAAAATGAATAAACGTTAAAAAAAATTTTTTTAAGGGGTACCTGAGAGGCTCAAGACAGTTAAGCATCCGACTTTGGCTCAGGTCATGATCTCACAGTTTGTGGGTTCGAGCCCCACGTCAGGCTCTGTGCTGACAGCTCAGCATTGAGAGTCTCCTTGGGGTTCTATGTCTCTGCCTCTCTCTGCCCTTCCCCTGCTTGAGATTTCTCTCTCTCTTTCTCAAAAATAAATAAACATTTAAAAAATGACTGAGAGAATTACTGTCCATGTGCACATCTGTGCGTGTCGCTCATGGGGACACTATTCCTTGTGCAGGAACCCCCCATGTCTCTAAGCAGGATTGAAAAAAAAAATGCCATGTGGGGGGTCCCCATGCTGCACCCGGCAGTCCTGGGTGCCTGTTGGAAAGACTGTGCTGTAGAGGCACAGAGGGGGGGGGCGTACCCTGACTTCTGTGGCCCCAGACACATTGGCCCGTGCGCGCCCCTGTGTTATCTCCCAGGCCACCATGACAAAGTGTTACCACTTGGTGACTTAAAGCAACCAAAGTGTGTTCTCTCACAGATCCGGAGGTTCAAAGTCAAGGTGTGGAGAGAGCGTAGCTCAAAGCCTGGAGGGAGGGAGGGCCCTTCGGTGCCTCTTCCAGACTCTGGGGGTGGGGGGAGAGGGGGCTTTGTCTTCCAGCTGCTCTGATCCCATCACTGCCCCCCTTCCCACGTGGTGCTTTCCTGTCTGTGTCTCTGTCCCTTCACACGGCTTTCATTTAAGGACACCAGTCATTGCATTGGGGGCCCATTCTGCTCTGGGATGACATCAAACACCCTGTTCCCAAACGAGGTCACATTCGCCATCACCAGGGGTTAGGGCTTCCTCACATCCATTTGAGGGACACGACTCAACCCACAACTGCTCCATCCCCCCTAAAAAACATTGAAAGTTAGATTTTACAGTCATAGTGGTATGAAGATGAACATAGCTTTCCATGCTAAACGTTCTTTTCTTTTTCTGTTTATCTTAACAGAAATTAATTTCTATGTTTCATTAAAACATTGCTGTAGGCCCTCAAATACTCCGGGCTCTGTGCCTGCTGAGCCTGATGCAGAAGTCAGCTTGGACACGCACCTGAGTGTGTTACCAAGGGTCCACGAGGCTGGGGTGGGCATGGGTTCTGCACAGGCGTGCAGTGTACATGCGGCATTCAGGCGGCCTCTAGAATGTGTGTTACACGACGTTCGTCCTTGGCGTCTGCTCTTGAAGAGGACGTGCACCTGTGCAGGATGCTCTCAAGGTTCTCGGGCCTTGAGAGAACCACCCCCCCGCCCCATCACATTTCTTAATTAGCTCTAAAGATCATTCAAACGATTACGAAACCGCTTCATGGTTTTCTACCACATTCCATTCTACCATGACTTTTGGATGTTGGATGTGATGGCTTTGAACTGAGATTGACACGAACGTCTTCATCTGCCAGGCTCCCTTTGGCACAGCCGCCCCTACAGTCAGGGCCGCTCCAGGCACGTAGCTCATGCCCAGCCCCCCTGGCATCCACAGCCCCATTGAGACCGAACTCTGCTCGTCATCACCCCTGTCGTGGCTCCCTGGATGGTCCTCCGTCATTTACACTCACCTCTCTGCTCTTTGACAGAATGGACACGTCCAGCAGTGCTTGGAGACTGTGCGGAAGGAATTCATCATATTCAACAGAGAGAAGTAAGTCCTCCTCCGGCGTCCGCTGGGCAGAGCCCCTCCCAGATGGCACCAGGGCTCCCCGGGAGAACGGTGGTCCCTGGCCCCCTGCGAAGCCAGCCATGGTGCTGGAAGGGAAGCAGCAGGTGGCCCCGAGTTCTCATCCCGCCTCTGCCGTGTGAGCCAGGCGCCACCCTCACGTCTCCGGGCCCCGGGGTCTTCGTGGGAAGTGGGGGAGCTGCGCCGAGTGGGCACACAGGGAGGCTGGTGCAGAGGGGCAGGCTCTCTGACGGTTTGGTGCCCGAGCTCTGGGTGGAAACCGTCCTGGGTCCACCATCGCCAGCGTGACCTGAGGCGTGTCCCCTCACCTCTCCGAGCCTCACTGTCAGCACCGACAAATGAAAACCCCTCCTTTGCAGCGTGGGTGTTGGAAGATTATGTGAGATTGTGGATACAATGCCTGCCAAGGTCGGAGTTCTGATGCAAAGATTACTGTGACTGTTATTATTTAACGGAGCGAGCTGCCCCGGGCTGTATGGGACACCGGGTTGGCAGGGGCCGGGACAGCACCAGGTTACGAGGGGCTTGGGTGCGTGCTGAACCGGCAGCATGCCCCGGGCCCATCAGCAAAGGACCAGACGGCTCAGACGTCATCCTGGCAGCTGCCCTCAGGAGCTCATCCAACTCGCACTGATGGGTGAGAGCAGGATTCAGGAAGGAGTGGGCTTGCAGGGTGGCCCTGACGCCCTACACAGAGGACTGGCCGCACACCTGTCCATTTGACCAACGCTGAACAAGGGCTTGGGCTTGCAGAGCCTATCAGATGAGCTTCCCACCCTCCAGGAGAGCCAGATGGGTAAGTGCCAGCGTGAGCCCTAGGCATCACCAGGACCGCTCCATGTTCGTTCCCAGCAGGTGACGGCAGCTGACGGAATGCGTGCCACAGACGGCAGCCTGGGCAGTGGCTCTGTTGCAGCTGAGAGGGTGTCCCAGAAGCTTCCCAAGGTGCCATGCCCGGCTGAGTCCTGAGGGGTGAGGACGGGAAGGGCATGGAGCCCCAGGAGTGAGGACAACACAGAAGGCGGCTGGTGACGCTGTCATCATCGGGGTGGGTGTCGGTGAAAGGTGATTACTTGGGTGTCGGCCAGTGGGCTTCTGGGCAGGGCAGGGCCCCATTCTGCATGGGGCGCTGGGACAGGCGAAGGAGCAGCAGCCTGTCATTTGTCCTGGGCGGCCACAGCTCTCCGACTAGTGAGTGGGTGCTCGGGTGAGGCCAGACACGCCCCCCAGGCCAGAGCAGCAGACCTCACCGCTGGGGGCCCACGTCTGTCTGGTACCCTGTTCTGGCCGGGAGAACGTGATGGGCCTCAGTGACCACAGTCCCTCAGACCAGGGGAAAGTGGCAGTCAACACTATGCGACTCTGCCGCCTCTGGGGATCCTGGTCTCTTCCCCAGCCTCGAACCCTGGCCCCAGGAACCTCAGTTCAAACCAGCGTGGGCACATTGGACCAGGGCTCCAGGCAGCCTCGTTCTGGACCCTTCGTCTGTTCAAGCATGGACTGAGGCGTCCTCCGAGGGCACCTGATGGCAGACATGAGCCTGTGGAAAGTCTGAGCGGTGACGGACCCAAACGAGCATCAGCAGCGTGCCGCTTCACCTGGAGTCCAAAGAAGCCAAATGATTTTCTTTCAAATGAAAATGAAAGCGAGATACCCCTCCTTGGGTTATTCAGGGGTCACATCTGGCCGTTCTTAGCAGAAACACCACCATATGGTGGCTTCAGCCAGTAAGATGTTCTTTCTCGTGGGGAAGAGTGCATTGATCGGGGAAATGTAGTAGGATTGCCCGGCGGTGCAGAGGACCCCGAAGAGATTTGTGGTCGTGCATGTAAAGCGAGGCTGGCACGGCTAACAGGAGTTGGCAAAATAAAGAAAGAGAGCAGAGCCGTTTTTCAGATGGGGCCGGGGTGGTGCGGGGGAGTCCGGCGTGGGCACGTGCAGAAGCAGGAGTCAGGAACGTCGATGGCCGGCTGCAGGGGTTGCTGTGGGCGTGGGGACGCACCTGTGGTCCCTGCTTGTGCATCCCTGCCTCCGCCCACCCCTGCCCTCCCCGGGCCCCAAAGGCTGCCAGGCTAGCTCCCACCTGCCGTATGCAAGTATCCGGATGAAGGGCCCAGCTGTGGACCCCGGGGAAGCTGTCTGAGCACCATACGGACCCCTCCGTGTCCAGCCCCATGCCTGCTCCATGTGGGAAGGGGGCCACGTTGCACCCGCGGCCGCCCTCTCTGCCGCAGTTTCTCATCTGTGCAGATGCCTGCGAGGAGTCCGTTCACGTGCACGGTGTGCCCCAAACCGAGTGTTCCTTTTAAACCAGAAGAACAATGGGACCTGGGTGTCTGCAGCCCTGTGTTTAAAGCACCTGCCGTGTCGGCACATGAGTAGCTGGAACATTGAGCCTTCCTGTCCGGCAGCAGCCAGTGGCAGGTGGCCTGACTGGGTGGGGGACCCTGAGATGCTGAGCCAGCCTCCCCTTCCCACTCCCTGGGGCCTCACCAGCCCCGGGAGCCTCCACAGCTAGCGGCTGTCTGCTTTCCTTCTCGGCAGACCAGGCGGTCCGCTCGCAGCGCACCAGGCTGGCTCCGTGTGCTTTGTCTCCAGCTGCTGCGGTGCCGACGGCTGCAAAGTGAATCAGCAGGAAGCACCGTGGTCACAGGAGCACAGGTCACAGTCCCCCGGGAGGGGTCAGTGAAGCATCTGACTTCAGCTCAGGTCATGATCTCACAGTTGGTGAGTTCAAGCCCCGTGTATGGCTCTGTGCTGACAGTTAGAGCCTGGAGCCTGCTTCCGATTCTATGTCTCCCTCTCTCTCTGCCATATCAGAGTAGGGGGCCCGTCATCCAGTATGACTTGCGTCCTAGAAAGAAGAGGCCTATGGACACGGGGAGAAAGGCACATGGAGATGGAGACAGCAGCCACCAGAAGCCAGGGGAGGGGCCTGGACCAGATTCTCCCTCAGCCTCAGGGAGGAATCAAAGTGGCCAGCACCTTGATTTCAGACTCCCAGCCTCCACAACCAAGAGGCAATACATTTCCGTTGTTGTAAGCCCCGTACAATACATTTCTGTTGTAAGCTGGTGACACGTTTTAGCGCCTTAGGACACGGACACAGTACCCTCGGAGTCAGCAGCTGAGAAGATAGGTCAGGAGAGCTGCATTTTAACATGTTCTTGGTGTCCTTCTGATTCAAGCTTTGAGAACTCCTGCTAATTGAGGCCGAGTGTGCCTAGACTGCGCCTCTTCCGGTTGGTTCTGAGCTGGCCACAAGAATCCCGATCTAAAACTACAGATCTCCCCAGCTGTCTGTCTCCCCTGCTCTGGGGTTAGTGACCCACAGCTCCGAGCCCTCGCAGGCTTCAGGGCGCTCTGAGGGCCTCACCCCTGCACGGCTGCCTGGCCGCTGATGTGTGCTGCGTCAGCTAGAACGAGCTCTTGGGCAGGGAAAAGGTTCCCCTGCCCCGATACGATGAGGACCCGTCCTCAGCATGTGATGCCCAGGGACGTGGGCATCACCAGCTCCTGGAGGAGATTCTCTTTCAGCCCTTTAACAGTGTGCCCTAATGTGGGCCTGGACCCTGAGATGCTGGCGTGCAGATGTGCACAGGCCACTATGGGGACGTGGAGGACACGCCCCGGGTCTGATGTCTCTGGACCTCAGTTTCTAAACAGAGAGCGGAATTAAAATTAACACTGCCTAATATTCTAGAAGCACGGTGTTATTGCTGGTCAGTGGTCTCAACGGGCAAAAGGCCGCCAAGCCAGGCGGACCATCTGTTTCCAGGAACTGGTCCGGGGATTGGAGGCCTTGGCCGCTGAGGCTTCCAGTGTGAGAGATGCACCGTGGGGCCCGTCCTGCCATTTCTGCCAAGTCCAAAGGGTCGTTTCAACAGCATTTGGCAGAGTTTTGCGGAATAAGGAGCCCCTGGTGAGAAAGGAGTTTCAGGAGCTGAGTTTTCTACCTGTGTCACCTCCGAAAGAAATCCGCATATTTAAAATCACGTGAAAGCCACATGCGGAGGCCCTAAAAGTGTTATATTTTTTTTTAATTTATTTATTTATTTATTTATTTATTTTTTACAAATAGTTTATTGTCAAATTAGTTTCCACATAACACTCAGTGCTCATCCCCAAAGTGCCCTCCTTCATGCCCATCCCCCCCTCCCCCCCACATCCATCAGTCCTCAGTTTTTGTCAGCATTCAAGAGTCTCTCATGGTTTGCCTCTCTCCCTTTCCCCCACCATTTCCGCCCTTCTTCTCCCCCTTGGTCCTCCGTCAAGTTCCTCCTAATCCTCCTATACGTGCAAACATATGGTATTTGTCCTTCTCTGCCTGACTTATTTCGCTCAGCATAACACCCTCAAGGTCCATCCATGGTGCTACACATGGCCAGATTTCATTGTTTCTCATCAGGGAAATACAAATCAAAAGTGTTATATTTTTAAAAATGCGATGCTGCGTTTGTTGTACTTAACAATATAGTGAATGGTGGTCAGTGACGGGGGTATATGATGTTACGGTTTTAGAGCATGTTTCTTTTTTCTTTAATTTTTTTAAAATTTATTTCTGAGAGAGAGAGAGAGAGCGTGAGCAGGGGAGGGTCAGAGAGAGAGGGAGACACAGAATCTGAAGCAGGCTCAAGGCTCTGAGCTGTCAGCACAGAGCCCGACGTGGGGCTCGAACCCATGAACTGTGAGATCGTGACCTGAACCGAAGTCAGATGCTTAACTGACTGAGCCACCCAGGCGCCCCAAGAACATGTTTCTTTAATCCAGAGTGGTCAACCTCGGCCCTGTCGACCTTTGGGGAGTACTGACACGGGTTGTTTGATGTGGGGACTGGCCTGTGCTGTGTAGGGTGTTTGCCAGCATGCGTGGCCTCTGCCCCTTACATGCCAGTAGCACCTCTGTAGTTGTGAGGACCCAGACTGACCCCAGACACTGCCTGATGTTCCCCCAGCAGACAAATC